ACGGGGCCGTTCGGGGGGCGCGGGGCTCGGCGCGCGCTGCTGGGCTGCGCTCCCGGGCACTCGCCGCCGCGGCTGTCACCGTCTGCCCCGCGGCGGCCCGGCCCGCCGCTTATATAGCCCGCTCCTGCCCACACGGCCGCGAGCTCGGATGACAGCGAATGCCATTTAAAGCGTGCGCGCCCCGCGCCCTTCCGCCTGACGTCGCCCCGCCGCTCTGGGAAAGTAACGGCCCTTTCCCCGGCACCGCCCACCCCCAGCCAACCCGGCTCCGGAAGGCAGGCCCCGCCCGCGGGGTTCCGGGAGCATCCGAGGCCCCGGGAGCACGCGGCTGGGCGGGGTGGCCGGAGAGCAGGCAGGAGCCCTCGGATCGGCCCCGCTGGTCTACCACTGGCCGTCCCGGGATCCCCAAGTTCGTGCCGACAGTGGTGGCCGCGGCGGCGCAGGTGCCCATCCCCCTCTGTGATCCCAAACGCACACACTCAGAGACGCTAATGATTCCGCCGCGGGTTCTGTGTTGGGCGCATGGTGGAGGCAGTTCCAGCCCTCCTCGCAGCTGGGAGAGAGCCGGGCGCGGGGAGCGCCCGGGCGCCTGGTTCCCCAGAACTGAGTTCGGAGAACGGGTTGGGTTTCTTCTCTGGATCCTTGCCACCCCCTCCCCAGACAGACACAAATGCATACACACACAAACACGCAGGGAGGCATTCACGTAGAAAAGTACACCCTGATGATCCCATTCCAGTTCTTCCCTTCCCTAGCTGTCTTCTGTCTCCTCACAACCCCACCCCCAAGTCCCTCGGGCACCAGCCCCCTATTCATGCTCAGAAGAATGACACTTGCATAGGCACTAATAACAGCGATAATAACTACAATCTGGAGAGCTTCACTCCAAGCCAGCCAGTGAGCTTCGTTTTACATATATTATCCTATTTAATCTTCATAATAGCCCTGTGCGGTAATTGGTATTCTCCCAACTTTACATATGAGATAGTGGAGGCACAGAGAGGGTAAGTAACTGGTCCTCTAGTAACTGATGGAACCAGGCAGCACGGACTGCACAGTCCATACTAATATAGACCCTTGCTAAAGGAGAGTACCCACCTGTGCCCCCTAGGGCTTCTGAGAGCAAGTCCCCTAGTTTTCCTCACTCCCAAGAAGAAACTGAGCACTGCCCCAGACTACATGGGCCTCAAGTATGGCAGGCACAGAGCAGAGCTCCCCATCACCATCTTCCCCACAGGCGCCCAGCAAGGCTCACAGGGCCGCTGGGAAAGGAGGGAATCCATGGCTTTGGTCTCCATTCCTTCTACAGCCATTCAACAAAGATTCACTAAGGACCTCCTGTGTACCAGCTCAGGATAGTCCGTGTCCTCACGAAAGTTACATTCCAGTGGGAGGGACAGACAATAAACACCTCAACCGGAACATGTACTTGGGTGGTGTGATAGGGACGCAGATGGAGAAATGTGCAGAAGGGGTGGCCAGGAAAGGCTTCTCAGAGTGGGTGATATTTAAGGTGACCCTAAGGGACAATAATAACACTGCTAATATGCTTAATATGTGCCGTGCTCTGAGTACTTTTTACGCATTAACACATTTAATGTGTTTAAGTATTGTATTTAATCCTCTCAACAACCTTGGATAACAAGCACGTTTCTTATTGCCATTTACAGATAGAAAAACTTACCCAAGGTCACGCAGCTAGTAAGCAGCAGATTTGAGATTCAAACTCAGGTGACTTAGCTCCTAAGCCCTCACTCCTATCTTACACGGAAGCCCTTTGCCCTGTGGCATACGAAGAAGGAACCAGAGTGTGACCAAGTGAGAGGAGAGCGTTTCAGGCAAAGGGAACCCTAGTGCAAAAGCACTAACTAGGGCAGGAAAGAGCTTGGCTTATTCAGGGAACAGTGAGAAAGCCCCGTGTGGCTAGAGCAGAGTGGGTGAGGCCAATGAGAAGGGATGGTCACAGAAGGCCGGGACAGCCATGTTAAGGTTAAGGAGACAACATTTTATTCTTTTTTTTTTTTTTTTTTAACAGCATTTTATTCTAAGGGTAATGGTAAGGCACTGAAGAGTTTGGGGCAGGCAAGCTATATACTCCATGTTTTTTTTTTTAATTTCATGTTTATTTGTTTTTAAGGGAGAGAGAGACAGAGCGTGAGTGGGGGAAGGACAGAGAGACAGGGAGACACAGAATCCCAAGCAGGCTCCAGGGTCTGAGCTGCCAGCACAGAGCCCGACACGGGGCTCGAACCCACAAACCGCAAGATCATGACCTGAGCCAAAGTCGGACGCTCAACCAACTGAGCCACCCAGGCGCCCCTCCAATTCATGTTATTAAAAGCTCATTCTAGGGGCGCCTGGGTGGCGCAGTCGGTTAAGCGTCCGACTTCAGCCAGGTCACGATCTCGCGGTCCGTGAGTTCGAGCCCCGCGTCAGGCTCTGGGCTGATGGCTCAGAGCCTGGAGCCTGTTTCCGATTCTGTGTCTCCCTCTCTCTCTGCCCCTCCCCCGTTCATGCTCTGTCTCTCTCTCTGTCCCAAAAATAAATAAACGTTGAAAAAATTTAAAAAAAAAAAAAAAAGCTCATTCTAGCTGCCAGGTAAAGTGTGGACTGGAGAGGGGTGGGGAAGAAGCAGGGAGCCCACTTACAAGATTGTTACATCACCCCCAGATACAGACACCGAAGACATGGATTGGGTGAAGACAGTGGACATGTAGGGAACCGGTCAGATTGGGGATTTGTCTGAGGAGAGGATGAGAGTACTTGCTGATGCATTAGATGGGACAGTGGGAGGGATCAAGGTTGACTTTAATGGATTTGGCCTGAGCAATGCTCATATCAGAACTGTATTATGTGAGAGAAAAGTCAATGTATATAATCTTAAGGCCACTATATCTGGGATTTGCTTTTAACAGCAACTTAGCAGTATTCTCTAATACAGAAACTAGTAACAGGAATGCAAAGCTGCCGTGTGTGAAAACCCTAAAATATGTGGCACTGGCTCAGCCAACAGGTGGTAAGCAATACGGAAACAATTAGTGAGGATGGAACGTTGGTGACCCTTTTTACACTATGACAAAACATTTATTGAAAACATTACCTGTGCTAATTTGGAAGACGGACCACATGCCTGCTGAGCCTGTATTTCTAGAAAAATAGTTGGAAAGAGCTAAAAACATTGGCACATGTTGGCTGCCCAGTGATGCTTTGAGCAAGATGCTACAGGAAAGAGATGGGCTCATTTGCGAGAAGAGATGAACAGAGGAGGAAATAATACAGAAAACTGCTGTTGTCAGGGTTGGAAAAACCAGCTGTTGTTGTCCAAGGAGCAGGAGATCAGACTGTTGTGGCTTGCAGCCTCTCTTAAAGCCTGTCTGTTAGGCCGAACGCTAGGCCCGGCAAAGGGATCAGCCCTGTAGCGAAGTATTACGTTAGCACTGTTGCCTTGTCATTCAAGTCTATTACTTCAGATGCCCTTAGGATAACTTTCATTTAAAATGAGAAAGAGGTGAGTTGGGCAAGGCAGACAGACTTAATAACTCTGACAAGAAAGGAGCTCTAAAGTGTGGTTGCTGGCCCATGGAACTGACTAGAAGCAGACAGACGTCCTAAGTTTTTGAAGGAATTATTATTACCAACAAAGTTGCAAGGCTGGACTTCAAAAGCCCTTGATTGTTACAGCACAGATATGTGCTCAAAGAAAACAGACTTTCAATACTGTCGGGTGGTAGTGAAGAGTAATAAACAAGAAGGAACTTGCTAGGGGCAAAGCCAAGGATCAGGGAGACACCGGACATGGGTATTGCCCCAGAGAACCTCCTCCACCACCAAGACAGGGAAGTGCTCACATTTCTAGAAGGGACTGTGGCAGAGACTGCTAGCTGTCCACCCGGCTGGGTCACATTTCCCAGCTTCCCTTCCAGCTGAGGCGGGGCCAAGTGTCTAAACTCTCAAGTGTGGAATGTGAGCAGAAGTCAACTTCTGCCCCAATTTGCGTAAGAGGAGAATCCTGCCCCGCGCTTCCATGTTTTTCCGCACACAGACTGGAAGACTAATCACCAGACAGACCCTGCATGCTTCGTGTTAGTCTAGATCCCTAACGACCCTGTCAGGCACAGCTATCTACCAACCTGAAACACTTCCCTTGGAGCTATTATATGAGAAAGCAGTCAACTGAATATTTTTAAACTTCTCTAATTTCAGGTCTCTATTATATCGACTCAGCATTGTCTTAACCAAGACAGCCATTAGACATCCAAGTGGAGAGGTCAAGCGGGACACTGGGAGAACTCAGGGGAGAGGTGAGGGATGGAGGGGACAGTTTGGGAGTCTTCAGGGGACAGATGGGAAAGTGTGGGAAAGCCCACTTTCCAGAGAAAGAAGGGTTGGGACCAGTCAAGGGCTCGGAGAAGCAATGTCCAGCAGTGTAAAAGGGAAACCAGGAGAACATGTCAAAATGCAAGAGAAGGATGTTTCTAGAAGGAGGGAGAAGATTACAATGGGAGTCCAGAGACAGGTCCTAGCCTGGCTCTACCTGAACTTCCTGTGTGGCCTTGGGCAAGCCACTGTGTGCTC